ATTGGAAAAATAATGAAGTCGGCGTGGTTAGAGTTATTTTCCTCTAACAACACCCCTGTGTTAGTTGTACATAAAATGTACAATAAAGTATTTCTAGAGCTTGCTAGAAGGGGCTTTGCAAGTATTCTTACATATCTGGTGAACATCACTGACCTTCTACTTCAGGAGCTCTTGTAGACCTCGAGTGATGGTAGTGAATGGACCAGAAATGCAGGAAGTATTACAATGAAGTATTAGTATTATGCAGTATTAAGAAGAAAAGGAAATTGTTTGTGCAATAGGCCCACTGGTAATTTTTTTTCTATATATAGGCAGATTAGAGTGGATGTTTAGTAGATGATGCCTCAAGCTGCATTCAGCAAGTTCATTACTCCATACTAATATACCGTTTGGCAAATCATCATGACTAAATCCCTCTAATAACCCAGTCTCCATCACAGCCTCCTGTGGACATCTTGAGGGAAGGTTCGATAGTCTGCATTTGGTCAGTGAAAATGAATGCTTTAGTGTTCCATACATTTATAACTACTCCATGTTGTTCATAAGTTTAGTAGTAAGCCCAATTCGAAGAAACACTCGTGTCAAATTGTGTGGATACTCACAACCTTGGAAGGGCCACTTGAAAGGTGAACTAACTGGGTTCAACGCTTCACTGTTCTTAGCTGCCGGAGATGATTACCCCTCAGGCTGCAGGCCCCTAGAGCTCCAAACACGTTTGTTCTGGTCACACATCGCTGTATATAGAAATGTCTGTCAGCTGAGTGTCTTCTTTTGTGCATCACTACATGTCTACATACAAGTTGTTCGAAACACACACCCACACACACATTTAGAATATTGATCTTCTGAACAATAGATCTTCTTCTAGTTCTTAGAAGGGATCTGTAGCTTCCATGTGGTGATGTAACTCCTGTTCGTATCAATGTGACCTATTTACTTTGTTTGTTCACATGGGCGTGCAGAAAATGCTAGCGAAATAATGCTTGTTGTAATCACTCTTTGCTTTACACCCATGTATCCAGGAGCTCAGGGAATCAGGCAAATGGGTTTACACACTCTAACATGAAAGCTTTGGCCTTAATGTTTGTGCTGGAATTGAGAGATAGGTGTAAAATCACATCATTGCAGTCGCCAACCTGCCCTGCAGGCATGAAAACGCTCAGCGATACATCCACGGTCATGACTGGAGCTATGATACGGTATGGCATTCATTCTTGGACACGGCTTGATTCCCTGCGTATCAGCCACAGCTGATAATCTCTTCTGTGTCTCTGAGGCCTTGTAGCATATTCCTGAGAATGGCCCTTTCAGTGATTCAGTGGATCCACCCATGCGTAAGATGAGCAAGTCAATACCGTGATTTCCATGACCCTCCCCTCAACCCTTTCCCCCAACGAGCCCTTTATGAAGTTCTTTTCTATCCCGTTCTGAATTCTGTGAATTTCCTAAACGCACACATACACCCTGTCCCCATCCCCCTGCTCTCCATGACCCCATTGTCTGCCCATGTCCCCTAGAGCGGCAGAGAAGGCTTTAGAGATTCCATGTGGCCCTGTGTTTGAGAGGAATTATGTCACCCTGACTGACCTCAAATCAGGTCAGGGGCACCAGGGTAAATGGTGAAGCAGTGAAAGGGTACAGACCATTTTTTAAAAAGACGTCTGTGTGTATGTTTTGGCCTTTTTGTGTGACTGCCTTTGAGGAAATGATACATCTGAGATCAATAGGGTTTAGAGGACAGACTGCATTCTCAAGGTGAGGTTCATAAAGGATTCTAGAGCAACCTTTTGTGTGGGAGTGTTACGCTTATGCCCTTTTTCACATACACAGGCCATAGTTTAAAAGTACTTGATATAAAATGACTTATTTTATATTATTATTATATATTATGGTACACTCTGAAATAAAGAAACTTCGGCAAAAGTTCTTTGGGTTCTAGTTAATTGAAAGGATTCTACTTAAAATAGGCAAGTCTCCGCTGTTTTACATAACACCTTTTTAAGTGTTCCTCCAGAGGCACAAACTGAGGTGTCTTTAAGGGTAATAGGTGGAACAGTTCTACATACTTTGAATTATAACTAGAGTTCACCTTTCCATTTAGTGAGTGTTTGTCAGGCAGAACCATTCCTCGAGGGTTCGTCTCAGAAGAGAGTTCATCCAGAACACGGGTTGACGTGCTGAAAAAGCCCAGATTATTTCTACATGGAGCAGCAGAACATTGCAGTGAAAAGATGTGGGAAGCTTGAAGCGAAATAATTGTCAATACGCTCAAATACATTTTGTGTATCGCCTTTTCCATGTTTAGTTCAATTAAGAAACAGGTGTTTCTTGCTTGCCCTGCAAATGAGACCTGGCAGTGTGTAGCGAGTGTTCAGAGAGAAGCTCCGTGATGAGGCGTGTTTGTATTCCCTCAGTGATGGTGCAAGGTTATCTCTGCAGAACGTTCTGCCTAAATGACTGATGGCTGAAATCTCCTACTTTTACTGTTTTAGGACTTAATTATGCTTCTGCACACAAAACTCTAAACCTTGAGAAAATCATCAAAGATAATCAACTTTGCTTATAGTTCCAGAAATCGCTGGAGAGAATATGCTTCCTCAGACAGTATTTTACAAATTGCAAGTTGTATTTTGATTAGTTTTTTTTTTTTTTCCTTCCCTCAGTGAAGTATCTATAGGACCAAAAATATCTGCTTGCTTGCCTCTCTGATATGAAATAGGTTGTGTCTGTGGGCAGAAATTTTCCCTATTGTGACCGGCAGAAATTTAATCAGTCTCTTAATTGATTCAGATGAGATTTGGCTGAGAAAGTTTGAGTCGTAATTAAATCTGGTCTCTGGGGTTAACTAAAAGAAGTGGCCTATCCGTTGGAATGAGGTGCAATGTTTGCTCTAGTCTGGATTACAGAGTGATTTCAGGGTGCTGAAGCTTTATGACTCGCAGCAAAAGAAAACAAAGCAACCCAAACAAAGCACTGGCGACCCAATGGCCCATTGAATGGGATCAATTTCTTTCATATATGGAAATTATGGAAGAGAGTTCATAACCCACCAAAGGATTCCTCACTCTTCACTAACTTGTTCACTCTTCCAAAGACAGATTAAAAATCTTAATGAAAACTGATTTATTTGGGAATGTATTTTTTTTTATTAACACCCCCTTTTTTTTTCTTTTTTTTTTTGGTACCTTTTTAATTCAGGAAGCATGCCTTGCTGATTGCTGCTGTGTTTAAAACATGGTGGCATTTTGCTTTTAATTCATTTAATTTACAACAATATGATATATACAGTGCATCCGGAAAGTATTCACAGCGCTTCCCTTTTCCCAGCCTTATTCCAATATGGATTAATGAATTTATGGATAATGAATTTAATCCATTTTGGAATAAGTCTGTAGCATGACAAATTGTAGGAAAAGTTAAGCGCTGTGAATACTTTCCGGATGAACTTTAAAATGTCATTGATGATGATATAACAAAATGATAAATACTTAAAGTAGCTAAGCCTATAAAATTTATTGGTGTATAAAATAGATCTTTTTTGTGAACTGAGGCACAGATACAGCTCACTGGTAGCAAAACTGACTCTTTTTTTTTTAAATTTCTTCTTCTATTCCTATTTTTTGGAGTTCATCTCCGTGTCAGAAGGGCAGCCCAGAAGCAGTACAGAAGAAACCGTTTCACGAATCATCCACACTTTAGTGTGATCCACACTACCAATTCCCCCACTTGATATCACCATCAGTTGTTAACTGAAGCTGATCTGTTCTTCAGTTGAGCTGGCCACCACACTGTAGCTGCACTCTCTAGCCTTTCTCAGCTGGGCCGTGTCTTTAAAGCTCGCTGCACTGAGAAATCACCTATATATTCCAGCTCTCGTGCGTCCAAAAACAATAATGACTTGGTCATTAATGGGGCTTGTTGCTGTGGCAACACACAGGACTTTGGCAGAAACAAGCCCAGGACCACTTGCCCACCAGACACACGGTTTCTTCTCTGATCCTGAAGCTGTTGACAGAGAGACTCTGATTGCATGGTCATTAACGTAATCCAGGAGCAGCTCTAAATCGAAGTGCACACTGGCCATGGATAATTGTCTGTTCTTTCTGGCTGGCTGTATCTCCAATGGCTCTAACAGCATGGTCCAGGTGGCTCCTTTGTTCCCCATTTCTCTAGATAAACTTGATTTCAATGAGTGAAGCCAGGAAGTGCCACTCCACCTAGCCAGCTTCTAAGTGCCTAAGAGGGCACTTTTGTTGGCACACAGCACTTAGTGTGGTTTTCAGACAGCTCTGCTAATACTCCCGGGCCTAGGGAGGAATGTTACCAGCTGTTCAGGAGCTTAATTTGCAAATTTGTGTGTTGTTGGGGGTATATGCGCACATCTGTGTATAGCCTTTAGAGTTTTTCTTTAGAGTTTTTGAGACTAATGAACTCACAGCAGTAGATTTATTGTTGGGGAGAACCCGGCTAGCAATTCCTGTGCTGCTGTTGTGGTGTATGTATGTATGTATGTATGTGTGGGTGTGTGTATTTATTTATTATATGTTTACCTGGGCCAGGTTTTCTCTCCTAGCAGCTGGCACTCACTCACTTGGCTAACTTGCACCAGCTTTGACTACAATAGAGGAATCATCTGAGGTTTCATATCATCCTAGTTGAAAATCTGTGCAGTATCTGAATTTTGTCCAATGTGCCATGTCCTCACTCTGTTAATACTGGTCTCCATTTTAGATTTGATTTGAGATGTGTTTAAAAAAATAAAAGGGGGGGGGGGAGTGTTGACTGCAATGCCCCAACCTCATTTGCCTAAGTAGTTACCAGCTGTTGTGTGAAATTGATTGGGAGTATAATGGTTGATTTTGTAATTAATCGAGCTACTAATTTGTTATTGACTGCACCATTAAATGAAAAAAGAAAGATGCGATCAGACACTTTTTTTTAATCAAGTGTGTTCTGTCCCTGGCTTTTTAATGCATCTTCAAATTAATGTTGTGATAAGTGGATAAGTGGTTAGCGGTTAGCACGTTCACCTCACACCTCAAGGGTTGGGGGTTCGATTCCCGCCGCTGCCCGTGTGTGCGTGGAGTTTGCATATTCTCCCTGTGCTGTGGGGGTTTCCTCCCCAGTCCATAAACATGCATGGTAGGCTGCATGTCCAAGTGGTACGTGTATGTGATCGTGATTGTGCCCTGTGATGCACCCTGGGATGGGCTCCAGGTTCCCCGTGAGACAGTAGGATAAGCTGTATAGAAAATGGATGGATGGATGGATGGATTATTAGTTGTATTAACATTAAAATCATCGTGAACTACAGACCTGACCTGAGGTCTGAATAGTAAACATTATTATTCTGAGGGGATCACATCAATAGTGCAGGTCTCATATAAGTGCATCGTACATCATCAGTCCTGTTTAAACTTCAGCTTAGTATCAATAGACTAGATATAAGAGTGCAGAGTTGACTGAGGACGTCGCTGAAAGGGGACCATTTGAAAATTAGGTGTATGTAGGGAGGAAAATGTGTTCTTATCTTCCATAATAACCCACATATAGAAAGCCTGAGGGTTAATTTTATCCTTAGTGTCTTTGGCCCATAGTTTTATTCAGGCATGATTATCGGTTCCCATTAAGGCCTATCTGCTGTGGCACATGGAGAGCAGAGCACTTAGCACTTGGCAGTTCTTTACTTTCTGTGTGGAGATTGACAGGCAGCTTCCTTCTGAGTGAGCCATGATTCAGCTAACTGCTGAGTGGCGTAATGTGGCTGCAGCAAGTTGAATAAAGATGGGGAAGTCATGCCTCCCCTTGCATCTAATAAGATCAGCCCTGATATTAAAACTCCTCCACATCAAAGTGCATTTCATACACACAGCTGCTCAGGTCTTTAAGAAGTTTTAAATATCAATTTGTGTAAAGAAATTTTAAGCCAGTATCATGTTCGGTCAGGAGCTATTTAACACCAGGTTTTTTTTTTATGTGTACTGGAAACATTTTCTTTAAAGGTCTGAGTAATGTTAGATAGACTTTTTCCACTCTGTGTTTATTCACATTTACTCTGCTGCTACAGAGGCCATAAATATTTATTTTTTTCTTGTGGGGGAAAAAAAAAATTTGACTAAGGAGCTCCAGTAAAGTCACTCTGAATTGATATATTTGAGAGCAATATTAATTCATCAGCTTTTCTAAGTGCAAAGAGCTTTGCCTCATGGGCTGTTAGAGAAGATGTGCTGGAAGCATTCCAGCTTCGCCTCCCTTGCATTACCCAATTACCCAGTATTTATTGGGCATTAAATTAAGTATTTGTTATTGCACATTTTATTCCATTATTAAAAGGTCAGAGTCTGGTAATGTTTTATTACAAATGATCCATATCAACTCCTGCTTCCTATCTTCCAGGTGCATTCCAGAGGCCCACCTTGGCAGCTAGAGGAGAGGCTGGCCTCAGTCACCATGTCAGCGTTGCCACGGAACCTAGTTTCCCTGGCGGTGTCTGGCCTTTTCCTCTGTCTGCTCCCTTTTGGCATCCCTGCTGTTTTCTCCCAAAAGCCCACATTTCCCACAGAGCCCAGCCCAAGCTTACAACCACAGAGCAGGCCAGAGTGTACCCACCAAGAACACCCTATTATCTCTATTCAAGGTGAGTGCTGCTAGCACACTGCTTCTACGCTACAAACATCAGTACTCTCCAACCCAGAAAGTAATGTAATATACCATACATTTTGAAGAAAGAGGTTTGCAGTGATGCCTGCAGATGTGTGGACCACTGAAAGACCAAGTTTTTAGAAATCCTTTCAAAACACAGTCCAGGAGTTGCTCATGGTAAAATACACTTGAGCCAGGTTGCCAAAATAATGTGTGCTTTATGTTTTTAAAGCCTGGCATGTCAAATCCACTGCTGAAGTTGCTGGAACGTCTGACTTAAATGAGCCTTTTAAAGAGATTATTATCCTGGCTCAGATATCCATCCACACATCCATCTGTTTTCCATACCGCTTATCCTACACAGGGTCGCGGGGAGCCTGGAGCTTATCCCAGGGCACAAGGTGGGGGACGCCCTGTATGGGATGATAACCCAGAGCAGGGCATAATCGCACATCCATTCACACACCTTGGACAATTTAGTAATGCCAGTCAGCCTACAACACATGTCTTTGGACTGGGGAAGAAACTGGAGTACCCGGAGGAAGCCCAGAAGTACGATGAGAACATGTAAACTCCGCGCACACACAGTGTAGAGGCGGTGTGACCCTAGAGCTGTGAGGCAAACATGCTAACCAATATGCCAACAAGGAGTTTGTTGAGATATATCAATATACAATGTTGAGTGTCTTTATTTATCATAATGAAATATGATCTGAAATTATAATCTATCATTGATGAAAGCTATTCCTCCTTTATTAAATTGATCTTACTGTGAACTGTCACAGGCCTGAATTCAAGTGGTCTTGGGATTAGCTTAGTAAGGTAGGGGTATGTGTTTCTCATTGCACACTTTGAAAGGTGTGTCCACTGTCCTGTAAGACAACGTAGGGGTCGGTCTCACACTGTTCACACTTGGCTTCTCTGTGAGACTGCCCCACATGGAAAACGCAGAGTGAAAACACAGGGACGACGTGTGCTAATGCTAAAGAACACGCCCTGTTCTGTAGCAGATGAATGACTTTCATTCCTTGCACTCCGCAATTGTGTTCATGAATAGAACAGAACATTGCGTAATCCTCTTCTGTCTCCAAGACAATATCTTTAGCATCCAAAAATGCAGGATAAGATTTGTTCCAGGTTTTAGTTTAGGCAACAGACATAGATATGTAATGAGGGTGAAATTTGAATCACTGGATATTGTTTTATTTGTACTGCAGCAAGAACAATGTGTGTTTTGTTTGGTGTTTTTTTTTTTGTTTTTTTTTTGTGTCCGGTGGGGCATGATGAAAATTTCTGGAAAATGCTTAACAGGAAGAAATAATAGACATCCACAGGGTGAAACAGGGTGAATAAATGACAGCCACAGGGTTTGATATTGCTGGAACTCTACCTGGACAATAGGCCAGCCATAGCTCATAAAGACATTGCCTATGGCCTACATTTTTTATTGCTACTGAAAAGACTGGAGGGGTTTTTTGAGTGGGGTTTTTTTTTTGTTTTTTTTTTTGTGCGTGTGTGATTTTTTTGAATTGCCAATTTTCTTCTGGGAGGAGCAGTTAGTTGGTCATTATTCTAGATAGTTAGAAAACACCACTAGTTGGTAGCAAAACTAAACATTACATTACAAAACATGTTAAGCAAACAGACTACCTTCAATAGTTTCCCCCTTTCACCTACACCAAAAATGGCTACCGTTGTCGCTTTCTCATGGTATTCCTTACACTTTCGTCATGGCTATTCATCAAAGCAAAACTACTTTTGCATTCCCTTCACCTTAAGAACTGCTGAACAATCAGCTCTGCATTGTAAGCTGGGTCACCTAAAATATCCTTTTATGTTAACCCAATTGCATATAAACCCCTCAGTACACCTTAAAGCCCTCTTTTATGCTAGAGCATTGGTATGGAAGTCATGCCACAATGAAGGCGTGATTAACCCTGAGATTATCTTCTTTGATGGATGAGTATTTTTAAGCAGAGCACTCAGGCAGGCACTGTGAGACATTACCTGAGGATGGAGGAAGAGGATAGGGGCCCAGGCTCTAATCTTTGGGCAGCTTTCTGGATGGACGTGTATGCTTTTAAAGACGAGTGACACCCACCTATGGACCCTTTTTTTTTTTTTTTTTTGTTAAAGTTGGTCGAGGGCAGTGAAGTGTGGCTGTGCCTCAGTGGGGGCTCTTCAAAAGCTTTCCAGTAGACCAAGCTGCTCCTAATGTGACCTGTGCTAAGCTTCATACCAGTGGAATAAGGATTACATTACCTTAATCTGATATGTATGTTTGAGTCCCTCCCAATAACCGGATACGTTTCCTATTTAATCATTATAACAAGCTCAATGCAGACCATACTTATCTGAAAGATCATGCCAGAACTCTGAAGGAGGCCACATGGGAACAGAGCAGAGATGTGGCATTGGAAAATGGTGTGCACAGCACACACAAAAAATAGACCAGGATTCATGAATAGACCAGGATTCATTCCCTAAATACTGCCATTAAAAGCAATCCAAGTCAGTGCTGATGTCTCTGCAAAAGTGGCACTATTACTGCCCACATAGACGCTGAAGGTCCTGTGATTTAGGATGGGTGTCTGGTTGATATACCCTGAGACCTGACAATTTAATGTCAGAAGCCTTTTGTGCAGATCAGCCTGCAGATTTGATCCTTTCAGACCTACTCTTCTTTGATAAAATGTCAGTAATCAGCCCAAAGATGATAGGCAACAGTAAGTCGCTGCTCGGTCTGGTTCAGTTCTCTGTACAGCTACTGTAATTGGCCCCAGATTGTTTCTCTGGACTGTGGAATGGGGTTTCTGTCTGCTGGGTAATAGTTGTGCTGTTTAAACCTCTTTCATATGAGAGAGCAGTGTTCCCTGTACTAATGCAGGGAATTGAAACTTTGAGAGCATATATTGTTTCACTACCATCAGGCTGGGACATTTGGGCTGCAGGTTAGTGCGATGCACCGTTCTTCTGTTGACTCGGAAATCACTGCAAACATTATTTAGCCCGTCATTTGTTGGTCTCAGTGTTTGTCTTGTGCCTCTGCACATTTCTACATGGCCTTTTCATTGTACCACAGACACAGCTAGGCAAGTTTAATGGCTTAGTAAAATTGCAGGCCATAAATGTTTTTCTAATTGCTTTTGCTAGACGTTCTCTTTCTGCCGGGCTGAACTGGCCTTCCATTACCTGAATCGTCCCCTGCTGCCCGAGTGGAGTTTGGCGTCCTCCTCTGCAATGTGACATTTCATAACCTATTCATTGTTCTCACTTTTTTGATTATCAGTCTGGGAGGATTTAGATTTCTGAACCATTTTCTGCCTGTCTGCTCATCCAGGAGCCACCTGCCCCCAAAGGACACAAACAACATGGAAATCTCACAACAGGAAGACAAAACAAAGGCATATTTGCTATTTGCTCAGATAAGC